TTGGACTTCGGGTCAACTTCCCCATTGTCATCTTAGAAATCCTATCAATTCAAACCACTCTATTCAAGTTGGTACCACGAACGAATTCAGTCACATACAATGTATGTATGTGACTAATGAGACGTTTGTTAAATAACCATTTCGGAACTGCTCAAACTTGTTACTCCAACATGGCAGATGCAGATTTATCTCGATCCCTAATAGAAGCATTTAACTTCACAACATCGCAAGCTAGAATACAAAACGCAGCATTAGAAATTCCTAAATACGACGGTGAGACAACCTCACTTACAAATTTTGTACGTGCTGTGAAAACCGGAGCACAACAGTTAGTAGCTGGCGAAGAAACGCGATACCTGCTCCATGTATTAAACAAACTCCGTGAAGCCGCGCGAGCTAGCGTAGAAGAAAAAGATTTCACCACACTTGACGATCTAATAGAACACCTAAAGAAGCGATATGCTCCAGGAAGGAATTTATCTTCCTTCCTTAGTGAAATAGGAAGACTGAGAATAGGAAAGACGGAAAGTCTGAGAAAATATATAAATAGAACAACGAAACTATATCAAAAGACACGAGCCGCTCAACTTGACAAATATCGCAACGACAAAGAAAGGAGAGCGGAATTAGAAGAACATACTCTCAAAAATTTTCTATACGGATTACCTCGTGAGATACGCCAGGAGGTTGTAATGAAAAATCTAAAATCGTTAGATGCTGGATTCGACCTAGTCATGGAACTAGAAAGGAAAATAAAAAATCATAAGCGAGCTCGCAATAATTATGACAGTGATTCGCCAGATGACTACCGGAAGTCCAGAAGAAACCACTCGAGTAGGCGATCACACAAACGAGTTTCGTACCCAAACTCTCCAAGCCCATACGATAGGTATCACAAAAGACATTACCGAGATGTCTCTAGTTCAAGTTCAAGCGCGAGCTCTACTTCTGAATCCAGTGATGACGAAAGAGTCAATCACCATCGCACTTACGGAATGCATGTAAGGAGGTATCGTTCATCCTCAGCATTCACCGACACTTCCAGGTCTCGCGATCAGAATAGAGAGAAAACGCCCGAACGTAGGAAGCAGCGAAAAAAATTATTTTGCTGGAAATGCGGCAACAAGGGTCACGACGGAAAAACTTGCCGAAAATCTCGTGCAAAATCTCCGTCACCCAGTAGGGAGAGAAATCATCGAAGATCCAATCGCCATAGATCATCCTCTACCGGATCCACCGGTTCTTTAAACTCGGAAGGCGCTCACCGCGTTCCACACATGGTGAGCGACAAGAAATTCAAAGCGAACGACGAAGAGAAGACCGTGAGGTTCACGGACAGAACAACACCCAAGGAAGACCAGAATACTACGTCAAGGAAGCTCCTCCACCGACGATCATCCTCCAAGTCCCCGAGCTAAGAGGAAAAGAAAATATCTTTCTAATCGATCCAGGATCCTCAGTTAACTTAGTCCAACAGGAAAGTCTTAACGATGATGCAAAGTTAGAATACAAGGAAATAATTTATATCGAAGGTGTATCAGGACACTTCGTCACCACTGTGGGAGCCGTGTTACTAACTATCGGTAATCGAAAAGTATTCTTCTATGTGGTCAAAGGATCCTCTTGGCCATACAGCGGAATACTTGGAGTCGCATATTTCACGCAGGATAATGCAGAAATATCTTTCCACCATAAAACAATAGTGACAGACGACAACCCGATACGACCAAAGCCATTTGCCCAAGCTGGAGAAATAAAAACGGCAGCATATTCGGCACAAAGAACCAAGCACGTCATAAAGGCTCGCTCACGACAACAAGTTGCGATAAGGATAGCGAATACGGAAATCACCGAAGGATACTTGCCTCGAATAAAAACTCCCCGGAATATTATAATCGGAGAAAAGCTAGTGACCAATCGCCAAGGAATCTGCTACACTATTGCAACTAACGTCAGCAACAAAAATCAAGAACTCGAATTAGAACCTCAGATACTGGAACCTTTCGAATTCCTCTCAGAAGCAGAAGATTCCTATGGTGAAGCAACCATGGACCCCGAGGAACGTTTTAATCAAATTCAGAAGGCTTTAAGGTTGGATCATCTTAATAAGGAAGAACAAGAACACGTAGCTGAGATTATCAACGACTTTCCGGATCAATTCCACCTTACCGGTGATTGGAACCTTTCGAATTCCTCTCAGAAGCAGGAGATTCCTCTGGTGAAGCAACCATGGACCACGAGGAACGTTTTAATCAAATTCAGAAGAAGTTGCGATAAGGATAGCGAATACGGAAATCACCGAAGGATACCTGCCTCGAATAGAAACTCCCCGAGACATTATAATCGGAGAAAATTTGGTGGCCAATCGCCAAGGAATCTGCTACACTATTGCAACTAACGTCAGCAACAAAAATCAAGAACTCGAATTAGAACCTCAGATACTGGAACCTTTCGAATTCCTCTCAGAAGCAGAAGATTCCTATGGTGAAGCAACCATGGACCCCGAGGAACGTTTTAACCAAATTCAAAAGGCTTTAAGGTTGGATCATCTTAATGAGGAAGAACAAGAACACGTAGCTGAGATTATCAACGACTTTCCGGATCAATTCCACCTTACCGGTGACAAACTAGGAATTTCAAAAACAGTCGTTCATACAATACCTACCATAGATGAAACACCGACCCATACTAAACAGTATCGGTACCCGCCAATTCATCAAAAGGAGATTAAACGTCAAATTTCCAACTTGCTTGAAAATGACGTCATTCAATCATCCACATCACCATATAATTCACCCCTGTGGATTGTTCCCAAAAAGGCCGACTCACAAGGGAACCCAAGGTGGAGAATGGTGATCGACTTCAGAGCGCTTAACGAAAAAACGATTGGAGATAGTTATCCCGTACCTTGCATCACGGAGATATTAGACCAAGTCGGTAACGCTAAATATTTTTCTGTATTCGACCTAGCCTGTGGATTCCACCAGATAGGAATGGATCCTAAGGACAGAACGAAAACGGCATTTACAACACCCAATGGGCACTACGAGTACATCCGAATGCCCTTTGGCCTCAAAAACGCACCAGCAACCTTCCAGAGGTTAATGGACCAAGTTCTAACTGGACTACAAGGAACAGAGCTATTTGTGTACCTAGACGATATCGTCATTTTCGCATCATCTCTTGAAGAACATGGACAGAAGGTTCGAGCTATGCTCCAACGACTGAAGGAACATGGATTAACACTTCAACCGGATAAATGCGAGTTCTTACGATACAAGGAAGAGAGCTATTTGTGTACCTAGACGATATCGTCATTTTCGCATCATCTCTTGAAGAACATGGACAGAAGGTTCGAGCTATGCTCCAACGACTGAAGGAACATGGATTAACACTTCAACCGGATAAATGCGAGTTCTTACGCAAGGAGGTCACTTATTTAGGCCACATACTTTCAGAAGAAGGAGTCCGTCCTGACCCAAAGAAACTGATAGGAGTCAAAAATTTCCCCATACCCAAAAACCAGAAAAACATTAAACAGTTTCTGGGTTTAGCAGGATACTATCGAAGGTTCATTGCAAATTTCTCTAAGATAGCTAAACCTCTGACAAGCTTACTGAAGAAAGAAGTCACCTTTCATTGGGGACCGGAACAACAAGCTGGTTTTGAAACCTTGAGAGATATGCTGTGCAAAGAACCCATACTCCAATACCCGAATTTCAACGAGCCCTTCATTGTAACAACTGATGCTTCTGACTATGCCATCGGAGCTATTCTGAGTCAAGGAAAAATTGGTCAAGCCCTGCCAATAGCTTACACCTCAAGACTTCTGAACTCTGCGGAAACCAACTATTCAACAACTGAAAAGGAGTGTCTTGCCATCATCTACGCTGTAGCATACTTCCGACCCTATCTATACGGTCACAAGTTCACTTTAGTAACAGATCATCGTCCTCTAGTCTGGCTACATTCCGTCAAGGACCCTAGTTCGCGACTGATGCGATGGAACTTAAACTGGCTGATTACGAATATACGGTCACATACAAGTCGGGTAAAACGAACCTAAATGCAGACGCACTATCCCGCAATCCAGCAGTGATATCCTACCCAATAAAACCTAAGGAAGGGGACCTGTCATATAAGCCATTGCCACATCAAAGAAAAATCAACCTAGAGACAGTACAATTGGGAAACGAATAAAAACAAGGTCACAGCCAGCTGTGAATTACAACGAGTCATCCACTAGCTCGCTAGATACAGACAACGATACTTGTCATGGAGAAACTGGAAATAGAAGCATGTTACCTTCCCTGCTGACCGAGACAATACTGGAGGAAGAGGAAACCGAAGAGGCTAACAATGAATCATCCCCCTCGCGGAACTTCGACCTCCAAAGTCTGTTTGAAGAGACCTATAGCGACGACGAATCAGAACCTACTAAGGAACAATTGACAGTAGGAAGATTGAAACATCTATTTATTAAAGATCCAAAAATAATAGAACTGGGCTCAGCATCAGAAACATCATCCGACGAAGACACGGACTTAACCCAAATAGATACCTTCTGGTGGGACGGGAAGGCTATGGAATCTCCCCAAGACGAATTAAAAAGGGCAGATTTTGCACAGGACGAGAACGAAGCTAGGCAGATATATGAAGACCTAGGAGACTTAACGCTGCACGAAGCCAAGCAAAAAATTAAGGAAATATCTCAAACCTTACCTTTCTTGGAAACCATAGTACCACCAAAGAAGAACATCGAAAAACTACAGGATCCTACAATCATTGCAGGCAGCACGCCAAAATCAAACAACCAATACACACAACGAAGAGTATCCTTCATGCCTACTCCTCGACGTAGCCTACAACCAACAGCGCAATCAACACCGGGAGCCAGAAATCAGACCCCCGAGACAGTGATAGACACCTGTATAGATAACACCCACGGACCACCACCACAACAAAAGGGAGTCATGCTACCACTGGTTGACATATCATCCTCAAGCGATGACTCGGACATTGACTGCGAGATCAGTATATCAGAGACCGCTCTTACAGGAAAAGAAGGTAACCTGGCCCACTTCCTACCAGCCGACGGTCAATTAATGAACCCAGTAAACCGAACGTTCAAAGAATTAAATTACCTTGATCAGGACAAAATATCGGCAGAACAACCCAAAAAGGGACACGTTTTCATTTCCCGACAAGGGATCAAGCGAATTTACACTCTTATACACACGAACTATTGCTACGAGAAACCAACAACTAAGGAAGTTCAATTAGCTCTGGAAGCACTAAAATTCGCTATGAAAAAATCCAAAGTCGACAATGTTAGAATCCCCGCAAAAGGGAACGGACTCGACGAAATGCCAATGGAAACGTTAATACAGTGCATAAAGATAGCTTTTCCAGATTATGCAAGTAAAATCACTCTTTGCACGGGAATCATCGAGACACCACCATCGAATCTCCGTCAAGAAATTATAAAGGAACATCATGAAAGTCTCACCGGGGGACACAAAGGCATTACTAAGACATACCGAAGAATACGAGAACGTTTTAACTGGCCTGATATGCACCACCAAATTCAGGAATATATCCGGAGTTGCGATAGCTGTCAGAAGCAAAAGTTAGTTCGCATAAAAACACGAGAACCAATGCTCATCACCGATACACCTACGGAACCATTCCATAAAATCTCTCTCGACACAGTAGGTCCTTTACCAGAAACTCCTAACGGGAACAAGTACATTTTGACCCTGCAGGATAATTTAACCAAATATTGTCTCGCAGTAAGCAGAATATGAGAACGTTTTAACTGGCCTGATATGCACCACCAAATTCAGGAATATATCCGGAGTTGCGATAGCTGTCAGAAGCAAAAGTTAGTTCGCATAAAAACACGAGAACCAATGCTCATCACCGATACACCTACGGAACCATTCCATAAAATCTCTCTCGACACAGTAGGTCCTTTACCAGAAACTCCTAACGGGAACAAGTACATTTTGACCCTGCAGGATAATTTAACCAAATATTGTCTCGCAGTAGCTATTCCCAATATACGAGCTACAACTATTGCCGACGCATTCGCACGACATTTCATAACTCAGTTTGGAACACCTAAAGCCATCTTAACGGATAAAGGAACAAAAGTTAGTTCGCATAAAAACGCGAGAACCAATGCTCATCACCGATGCACCTATGAAACCATTCCATAAAATCTCTCTCGACACAGTAGGTCCTTTACCAGAAACTCCTAACGGGAACAAGTACATTTTGACCCTGCAGGATAATTTAACCAAATATTGTCTCGCAGTAGCTATTCCCAATATACGAGCTACAACTATTGCCGACGCATTCGCACGACATTTCATAACTCAGTTTGGAACACCTAAAGCCATCTTAACGGATAAAGGAACTTGTTTTACTAGCGAACTTTTCAAAAATTTAGCAAAAATATTTCGAATTAAATTAATCACCACATCTGGCTACCGACCCCAAACTAACGGAGCATTAGAAAGAAGCCATCACGTTCTGGGAACCTGTTTTACTAGCGAACTTTTCAAAAATTTGGCAAAAATATTTCGAATTAAAGTAATCACTACGTCTGGCTACCGACCTCAAACTAACGGAGCATTAGAAAGAAGCCATCACGTTCTCGTGGAATACCTGAAACATTACATGGACACATATGATGACTGGGAATTACTACTACCATTCGCAATGTCTTCATATAATACCTCGGTACACGAAGCAACGAATTTCACTCCCTACGAACTCATCTTTGGAAAACCAGCAAGAATACCTTCATCATATCCAGACACGAATGATCTAAAAACGTACGATGACTACTTAACAGAACTAATCACCCATCTGGACAAAATCAGAAACCACCTCGGTACACGAAGCAAGGAATTTCACTCCCTACGAACTTATCTTTGGAAAACCTGCAAGAATACCTTCATCATATCCAGACACGAATGATCTAAAAACGTACGGTGACTACTTAACAGAACTAATCACCCATCTGGACAAAATCAGAAACATTGCCCGCAATACATTAGTGCAGACTAAGGAAAAAACAAAGGAACGATACGACAAGAAAATAAAACCAATCAAATTTAACCCAGAAGATAGGGTATACGTTTTAAAGGAGCCAAGACATCACAAATTCCCAGGAGATAGGGTATACGTTTTAAAAGAGCCAAGACATCACAAATTCGATCCACATTATGAAGGCCCGTACGAAATCTTACAGTTATTAGAATTGAACAACGCAATCATAAAAACCGACAAAGGAAAAATCAAAGTAAAACATTTCAACAAATTAAAACCTGCGAGCTCTGCTCAAAAACCGATCCAGAATCATCAACCTTGCTAAAAACAAGCTGTTCAATTTCCAGAAACAGAATGTTGCGCATAATTTTAACCTTATTCTGCGCACCACGGATCAACGGAATTCTGCAAGATGCAGCACCTGACTATCAGATTACTCCATTAAAGAACAATATCGGCCTGCACTTTGAGAAACTCCATGACATGCGCATTTATCATGTGGAATGGAATCTAGTCACCTCGCTAGAAATCGGTGCATTCCTAAAACACCGTCCACGCTTAGAGGAACACAAACTTGAAGCAAATAAACAATGCTTATCTATGCAATTTACGACATGTGAGGCCCGCGAAGAAATAACCCACCTAATGGCCAGACTCACTGACTCTCGTAAGGATGAAGATCTCTTGCAAGGCATTGTTGGAGAAATCAAAGAAGAAGGAAACCGCCGGAAGCGCGGTGCACCACTCGGATTCATAGGCACTATAAGTCAAGCTCTTTTTGGAACCCTCACAGAGGCCGACGCCGAGTACTACAATATCGAATTAGATAAACTACACAAGGACCAAAATCATCTATCGGAACTGCTGGCAAACCAGACCCATGTAGTCCGATCAGAATTCCAAAATATACATCAGCACCTTCAGAATCTCACGATACTGGCCAATAGAAACAAAGCCGCCACTGAACTACTTGCCACGGAACTCAGCAAGCAACAAAACGCCATGAAGGAACAAGCCTACGAAATATCATCTTTAAAGTGGCTACGTAGCCTGGAAAGGAGTGTCAACGAATACCAAACAGGCCTAGAATTGCTCACCAACGCAGTGATATTTGCCAAACAAGGAATAATCCAAGTGATATTTGCTAAATAAGGAATAATTCATCCCGCCGTACTACCACCACGACAGCTAGTTGCCGCCGCAAACAAGATTCGGCAAAATACCCAGTACGAGTTCCCTGCAAGCAAAGGAGTTGAAGACCCGTCAGCGAGGAATGCGCCTGAACAACATGTTTTCCTATTCTTCCTTCGGGATAATTTCGATGCTCATACTCAGTATCATTGGTTACGCTTTCTATGTAAAATGCATTAAGGACCGTCCGACCTACGAAGCACCTAGACATGTGGTTAGATACAGAAGAAATAGGCCAGAAATAACAATTATGCATCCACCCATCGAAAAACCGCCGCCAATCCCACAAGTAACATATCCGTCGACTCTTCAACTCATGGCATCAAATACCTCCGTCAGCAATAATTCAATAGTGTAAGCAAAATAACATACAACGCCAAACCCTGTTCATCCACTTCAGTCGCAATCGAACTTAGAACGAGTACAGACCACCACCAAAATGGTCACCAAAAGAATTATGGGAACTATCACAGAACCAAGAGAAGGGTACCGTACCATCATCCTCCAAACTAAAGAACGAGGTACTTGGGAGATAGAACATAGAAAGGGAATCATACGAAAAGCGAGGCCCTGGAAAGGGGACCTACCGAACGCACCCAGTAAGGGACGAGGAACTCAAACCACCCAAATCCGGAGAGCCAATAGACACACCCAAACCGAAAAATGTCTGTTCACCACAATCTACACACAACAGCTGTTTGGAGATCCGAGCACCGATGATGAGGAACTCTGCAACACCAAGGAAACCTGGATACCCTATGACACAGAGGATGTGTCGGAACCAGAAGACATCACTGACAACACCATCCGTGATTTCATACCAGGGGAATCGCTGAGGAAGAAACAAAGGCTTATTGTATCAGGGCAGCATGGCCGCGCATCGACAAAGAGATACTTTCGAAAACTATCTCCGAAGATGCATAACTAAGTGAGCAAATGAGAAATACGGAAAACACAACAAAACATAAATTTATGCAAAAGCATCGCCCAAATAGACGATGTTTTGTCTAAGAGGGGAGATGTTACGTATATCGACCTTCATTCCTAAACAGAAGAATAACGTAGCCAACAGGGAGCATAATTGCAGACTCAGCACGTTACCCAGTGCATTGCCCGTGCCACCTACCCAGCTGGTTAGCCGAGTGCATTCCTAACGTCCTAACCGTACCTAGAGCATCAGCAAAAATCGACTATATAAGCAGCCAAAATCATGGCACAGACGCTCAGAAAATCATTCAATTTCACGCGTAAAAGATCGGACTGCACGTTGTCACTCGTGGCTCTAACCGTTAGAGTATTAGATTCAGTGTAGTATTCGCAATCTGGCCTAGGTACGGATTCGTTATTACATACCCTAGGGAACAAGCTGGATCGGTTACCGGGCAAAATAGAGCTGCATAGACTACTCTTTCCGAATATCGCATAGTTTTGATAGATTTCTGTTCCACCAAAATTCATCTTGCCTTAACCTCACACACAGTTAGGTTTTGTTATCCGATATTTCTCATAAAAGAAACACTGTACACGACAATTAATAGAAAACTTTTAAATTGGTTGTAACAATATATCGTAAACTCACATTTTACTCGCCGATATTTCTCATAATAGAAACACTGTACACGACAATTAATAGAAAACATTTAAATTGGTTGTAACAATATATCGTAAACTTACATTTTACTCGCGTTTTTAAATATCCCTCGGATCGAACATCCGTACGTTCAATTTCAAAGTATGTTTATTTCACATTCCCTCAGAGACACGTATGCAACTTTGAGATAGCAAACAAGTACAGTCTCTTTGAAAAGAGATATTCATCTCAATCAAACGGATAGTCTTTACGGACTCGTGTCCAGGACACTTTCTTTGTGCGATGTAGCTGTAGGAACATATACTATGAATAAACACTCTTTCGCAAAGGCGAATCATAATATATCCAGCGCGACTACGGTGTGCTATGACATTCAGCTACTGTACAGCACCTGCTAGACGATTATAATATAGTATCGAGAGTCTATTGAATGAAATTTATTGAGTTTAAGAGGCATCGAAAATTAAGGAAAAGCTAAGGTGGGCCCGTGAGACAAAGTTTACCACCGGACTTCAATAAAACTGATCGGACTTGTAAAAGTCATATAATTAAGGTAAATGTAAACAAAATGAGCGCATGTGTACTTGCGGTTGCGGAGTAAAACAGTTTTTAACCTATTATCCATTGAGAGTGAATCAATTTTTATGACTATAAACGTGTTATCATTTTAAAATAATATGACAAAAATTTCACTAAAAAATTGTATGATTATCAACGATATTAATTAAGGTATAATTGACTGGATTAAGTAGGTTTTTTCCTTTGCAATGTTTATTAATTGTGTAGCCTACATTAAATTTATTGACAAGAGTAGTATGATCATGACCTCATTAAATTATGTTGTTTCAATATAATGTAATCATATCTTGGAAATATACAGGGCTATTCACGGCAAACGCATTAGCTTAAATTGGCCGTGAATGGATAATTTCATGAATCAGAGCATGTTTGGCATAATCAGCATCATTAAAGAAATGAAAATTAACGTCACAACATTGCTAACATCGTCAATTTCACAATCTTTCATTTGTTTAACAAGACCATACTGCCTCGATTAACAGAATTGTTCAGTCGCATCCAAATTCAGATGGACGTTTGCCGTGAATAACCCTGTATAAAAAATTCATCAGAAATAAAATAAGAACATTTATGACGGTTGTAGCACAGACGTTAGGTGTCAATTGAAACAACAAACTTACGAAATTCAATGCTGGTACGGATATTGGGATTTACTTTATTTACTGCAACGTGATAGATTTTCCCACTCGTTAGAATAGTTTACATCGGCGCAGGCTGCATCAGCAACTCAATTGCGAAGCGAACTTCTTGCACAAGAGGCGAGATGGCGATGCATCGAGTGACACGGAATTTATTCTAATCCACTTGATTTTATTTTGTTTTGAGCGATATCATCTTGACATATCAAGAGACTCGGTCGAGTCTCGCGCCAAGTACAGGAAACCGGCCGTACAGGGCGCAGCGCGCCGAGACTCTTCACTCGAGTCAACTCCTTATCCCCCAAAAAACACTTACGTGCAAAAAAATACGCCAAGTACAGGATACTGTGTATTCCTCTAATAAAAAGTATTGATATCAGATTATTGAGGCCAAGTACATAAGTCACTACATATTTGCCTATTATATGATCTAGCACTGGCCCATCATTTTAGTTGTATTTTAAAAATTTCCTATAACGTTTTCCCTACTCTTTTACATTACTACTGCTTCCCGTAGTTAATTATGATTTAATGGTTATTTAATAATTAATAAAACTTTAGCTGATTCCTTATCGAGTACTACTTGTCGGGTCCGTGCCAGGAATTCCAAAGTACTTCCTTTGAACGTACTAATAGTATCTTAAAACCATATATTTGTTATTAAGCTTTTACCGTGATTCTTTTTTACGAGTTATTGGTAACAAGCTCTATATAGAAAGTTGACATTGGTTTTGAGTTTAATGACTGGTATAATGAACGCAAATTTATATCAAGATATGCACGGACCCGCCAAGCAGTACTCGATAAGGAATCAGCTAAAGTTTTATTAATTATTAAATAACCATTAAATCATAATTAACTACGGGAAGCAGTAGTAATGTAAAAGAGTAGGGAAAACGTTATAGGAAATTTTTAAAATACAACTAAAATGATGGGCCAGTGCTAGATCATATAATAGGCAAATATGTAGTGACTTATGTACTTGGCCTCAATAATCTGATATCAATACTTTTTATTAGAGGAATACACAGTATCCTGTACTTGGCGTATTTTTTTGCACGTAAGTGTTTTTTGGGGGATATCACAAGTTTTTGTTGTTCAATAGGATATATGAAAAAAGTTTTAAACACTGAAATCTGTATTGTTAAACAAATATAAAATATAAATGCATTGCTATGTCACTAATCAGATAAATATATTGCGTTGTCGAAAATGTTAAATGCCATATAAATGTAATTTATAAATTGATTTTTCTTAGAAACACAAAAATATATATAAATTTGAAAGGAAAGTATATTCTTAAATGTAGAATAAAATTCATTTAGAAAGAAGTTGAGTCATTTAGGAATCTTCGTAAGCTTTCTACCGTGATAATCATAGACGTGACACCAAAAGATTTCCATGAGGAAAGAAGATTTCCTCCTCATTTGCACGCTTACAATCAGTTACATATTTAGTTCAAATCAAAAAACAAAGTAAATTTTTCTTTAAAATATATATTTTTCATTTAATTTGTTTTTATGAAATCTGCGGTTGAATGTTTAATAGATAAAAATAAAATTAATCTTTGAATTTTGTATGAAAATTTTTATCAAAACTCACATGTGATTAGTTTCTAATAATTAATAATATTTACTGGAATGAAGGGTAAATATACTTGAACTAAAAGAGTATTATAGATATAATATTTGTAAAGTCCTCATTCGATATCTTAAGGCAATCACTCAACTAATCTAGTGCGATACAATATATTGTAGTATTAATTATTCTAAATTTTTGTTTTCTATTTCAACAAGAACATAATAAATATTAGAATATATCTTTTATAACAAATACGATACTGTTACTATCTGCTAAATTCAAGTCTCTTTGTTGCACTTAATGATATTGGCAATTGTGTATAGTGTTTTAATTATAAATTACAGTTGTAAAGTACCACACATATTACCAGATGAATGACATATTAAATATCTTTGCCTACTTATTGTTTGTAGAAATATTATACGAATAACAGTTGAGTCAGAGTCTGATGTGCTGTTTTAAAATTTCAATATAAATATATATTGACTTGCTATGCAGTCTCAATGGATTAAAACATACACTGATATATTATGCATAACTTATGGATTTACTTACTTTAACTGGTCATACTCTGTCTATTTTTTGCAAGTGGTTTGATTAAGTGTTAAATTCCTCATAATCTTTATATCCTTATAAATATATATATTTAGGATGTTATG